ATATTTTGTTGATTAGATTGCTCGAAATGTTTTTAATATTTTGGAGTCCCTCTATGTGCATTTTTCTCGACCAACTAACAACTCAAAATTACTTGAAATTCAGACTGAATTAGGATTAAAAAAAGGTAATGTCATAAGAGTTTGTGATACTCGATGGGTTTGTCGATATAGAAATTGCAATTCAATTATCAACAATTATTCAGCAATTTTAAATTTTTTAAAAAATGAAATTGAAGAAGAAGCTGACAAAGATGCAGTTGAAGCTATTGGTAATATAATAAATAATCAATAATCAAATTTATCGAGTACTCAATAATGTTGTAATTTATTTTTAGGTATCATTAGTCAAATAACAAAATGTCAATTTGTAACATTAGTAATTGTCTTAAGAGATGTTTTGGGGGTTATAAACATACTAAGTACAACACTACAATCTAAAACAGCCACGTTAGGGAAGGCAGAAGTCATTATAAATAGTGTAATTGAATCATTTAAAGATATGAGAAGTGATACTTCATTCTCAAAACTGTGGTTGAAAATTGTACAATTTTGTGAAATAAATGATATATCATTGGAAGTCTCTCATCCTGGTATGTTTGATTCTTTGTTATAATTTATAGTTATTGTAAACATTTAAAGCAAATCATTTTAAAAAGTATTTATATTTTTTAAAGGATCAAAACGAAAAAGAATTCAGCCAAATAATTTGAGAAATTTCATTTTGGAAACAACTACAGGCAATAATTATGAAGAACAAGAAGTGTCAGAATCAGTCGAAGCCTATTGGAGGCGCACTATTTATTTTCCAGTTATTGATACTATTATTAATAATTTAAAGTTTAGGTTTTCAAACGAAAATCTTCAGATGGCCAAAGCTATTGATAGTTTTATGAATATGGATTATGAAAATAGTCAACATTTTATTCATCATTATAAGGTACATATTCAATTAGTTATTAAGTTATTATAGAAAAATTCTATAATATTCAATAATATTCTATGATTTCAGGATATAATTAATTCAAATACAGAGTGTTTAAAAGCAGAAATGCTTGTAGCGAGAAATTGTTTAAAAAATAGTACAGATGACATAAAAAAAATACTAAATAATGATGTGTTTCCAAACTTGTACAAACTAATGCAGGTTGCATTAACCGTACCTGTCAGTTCTGCGACATGTGAACGAAGTTTTTCTTCTATGAGGAGATTGAAAAATTGGCTGCGGAGCAGCATGTTACAGCAGCGCTTTACTAATTTAAGTATCATAAATATTGAGAGAGATCTAGCTAATGATATTGAACCTGAAAAAATATTAAATACATTTGCAAGTATTGACAGAAAACTATGTTTGACACTTTAAAATATAATAATATGATAAAAAAAATAAAATGTGTTAAATTTATTTTCTATTAACGGTACCTATGGTTGCAAACAGTAGTATAATGTAAATAATAGTAATATATTATGCTGGGGGTGTGGGGGGCGAAGCCCCCCACGGCTCTGTGAACGATTCATTATGGTAGCACCCCCAAGATATGAACCCTAGTTGCGCCACTGACCATAAACTTGTCGAATATTGCAACGACTCGGATTTAGAATGCCATACGTGGGCACCCCGTCATACCCGCTCATTCAAAGTGTTTATCCGCTATCTACATCATGCTATACCTGTTGAAGATATAGAGAGGGCCCTCCGGGATTAGGGCTTCTCAATTATAAGTGTGCTAAACGTCCGCCGCCGAGTTAGCAAACAGGCTCTACCACTATTTACCGTTGTCCTAGAAGCAATGGATTTTAACCGGAGCATTTTCCAATTATCCTCCCTCCAAAACTCCAAAATAGCTGTCGAAAAACCGCATCAATCTCGTTACCCTCCACAATGCAAACAATGTTAGCGATAAAGTCACACTCGCTCTTACTGTAGTGAATCACCACGTTGTGTCAAATGCGGCAGCAATCATAACACCGTGGACTGTGTCAAATCTTCGGAACTGCCTGCGAAATCTGCGTTATGTTCTGTTATGTTTCCGTTATGTTCTATCATACCCCGAACTATAAAGGTTAAACTATAAAGGTCCTTCATTAACGAAATTTTTGAACACTTATCATAAGAATGGCCACCTCAAGACCACGCCACCTGTACCAACATTAGTGCCCTCAAAGGTGGTCTTGCCAGTCACAGTAGTGCCCCCGTCCACGCACACCCATACAAAGAAAAATCCAGGGCCAAGACATACGCAGAAGCAACTTCAAGCAACTCAAACAATAATCCTAACAATCGACCTATTTCAAATATTTTATCTCAGTTTGTTACGCAACTAAATTCCCTCATTACCCCATCAATTTCACTTTTATCCACACTCTTAAACTCATTACTAGGGCTCGGATGTTGTTGCATTTGCAACTTTTTTTCTATTGTTCGGATTCGTTGCTAAGTAGGTTATAAATTTGTTTCAAACGAGTACCAATTAATATATAAAAAATTTAAGTGCAACTTTTTGCAATTTTTGATCTTTTTTCAATTTTATTGCAATTTTGTTGATTGTCGTCATTTTCAATACAATTTTATGTATTTTTTTGTGTTTTCACTTTTTTTTGTTAGATTATACAGGTTTAATCTATGGTTATGTCGGGCTTATTTGACAGTCGTCGTCGGCGGTAACTTAAAAAAAAATAAAAATAGTTTAAATAAAAAGTTTTAAATTTTGATAAAATTATTTATAGGTTTCTGAAAAAATAAGAAAACCGGACAATTTACCAGATTTTTAATGACAACTGACGAGAATTTGAATTTGAATCTTTTTTATTATCTACTCGTTTAAAACCTACCTAATAAAACTTTTTAATATTACTTAGTAAAATGACTTAATCCATTTCATAAAATAATTTTTTAATATATTTTTTTAATTTTTTTGGTACAAAATATTTTTTTATTGCAATTTTTAAGTGCAATTTTGGGTTTTTTTCACAGCAATAATGCAATCAATTTTATAACATTTTTAGTGCAACAACATCCGAGCCCTAGTAATTAGTTTAAATTAATTTTACCTTTTGTTGGATTTCTTAACATTTTTCGATTTTTTTATCATCCCTTTAATTATTTTGTGTCTTGTAGGAGTGAGAGTTGTTCCAACATATGTTTTAGTTCTTATAGATAATCTTTTTTTATACTCTCTAAAATAAGGGAACAATGAATTGCACCTTTTACATCTTTTTTTTGAACTTGTTAGAATAGAACATTCATTATGGCGCCAGGTTGTATTCTCTAAATAAGTATTCTTAACCCGAATTCCTAAATAAAAATTGGTTTAGGTAGGTACCTATACAGCTATTTTATTTAACATTTAAAACTCATACCTGAAAAATGTATGACACTGGGACCTCCTTGGCATATTTCTTTTTGTTCAAACAATTGAAGGGTTTCAGTAATTTGCAATGTATCAAGTGGGTATGTTAATTGTTGTAGACACAAATTTTTAGGATTTCGACGCTTTTGATTAACATAATAGCTCACTTTTAAACTATTTGATTGAAAAACAATTTGTTTTTCAATAACAATTTTAGCTTCAATAAATTCTATGAATTTAATCAGCTTATACAATGCAACAATACATCCATCATGATATAATGACCAACCAACTGGCAATAATAAACTTTCATACCACAGTTTTGATTCCTTTAATAAATCATATGAACTATGAAGTTAGGTAGGTATATATAAATTAAATAATCTACATGGTCTATTATGACAATTAATCACAAACATACTATTAATGTTGGTGTTTGACATAATCTCTTAGGCTTGGGTTCACCAAACAATTCTTTCCTAAATGACTCAGTAACAGGTGTACAAGATACTCGAGGTTCTGCAGGCAAATCATTTGTTTTGTGAATATCAATTGGTGAATTAAATACTGATGGAAAAGCACCATTTTTAGCCCAATTAAATTCCTTTTAAACTGTGTATAGAATTATTGAGTTATAATTTATAATTTATAATGACCAAGTAGGTACTTATATAGTACCTACCTAAATGGCTAAATACAAATAATTATGTTTTCTTACTTCCGAGTCATTACACCCACTAAAACTGTTAATCAAATCTTCTTTCCTAAAATGTTCTATACAGACGTATGTCACTTTACGTTTATGATTACCGTTTACTTCATTAATAATTTCCTCCCACGATTCTCGAACTTTAAACAACTGAACATTGGACCGTTCCTTAGTGGTACATAAAAATACTGAACACTGGCGAGGCATTTTAATTTTATAATTTCAACACAAATGTAGAAAATAGTCGTAACTATTTAAATAAATCAAGCAGTAGATCTAGACGCTCTAGTAAGTAGTAAGTAAATTTCTAAAGTCTAAATACTCTACTATTTACTAATGGAATGAATATAAAATATGCAATGAGACCAATGTAATTTATTTTTCTGAGCCAATGTATTTATAGAGAAGTAATGGTAGATGAGCTATAAGCCTACTAGATAGCGCTAGGTGTCCCACATGTACCTATTGAAAACATTTGGTACCATCCCTCTACCACCCTCCAGCCTTATCGTTACCAGTCCTGTATATCTTTATCGTAAAATATTTTTGTTTATCATTAAAATTTACAATTTTACACTTTCATACCCTGGTATCATACTAACCTCCGCCGTATGCAGTTGAACGGATTATATTAATCCGTGGTTAAGACATCATTATAATCATTTTTTAAATAGATACTGTAAAAAAAAATACAACTATTACAACTTACTGTCTACACTCTACACTTGAGTGATTATTAATTAATAATTTATTATTTTATTATTACTCTGTGAATTATCCATTGACCCATGGGCAATGACTGTTAACTTTTAATTTTATATATCTACGTAATAACTAAATGGTTATTAGTTAATTCTATTAGTCAGGTGTGTGTACACACTACACAGAGAATTATTCTAGTTTTTTTCTCTAGTTTGGAATTTTACCTCTTAAGAAGAAGCATCATGTGGCACGAAGCAAGAAAACAAGAGAAAAAAATCCGTGGCCTATTGGTTGACTATCAAAGGCGAGCTCAGCGCCGAAAGGATTATTATGAAAAAATTGTAAGTGATTTTTTTTTTTACAAATCATATTAACAACAGTTATTATATGTTGTTTATTTTCAGAAAGCTGATCCTACACAATTTTTACAATTGCACGGTCGTCAGTGTAAAATACACATTGATCCAGGCATTGCAATTGCCGCCAATAGTCCTGCTACTATGTAAGAATTTACCAATATTTTCTTATTTTTGTTTTTTGTTCTTTTCATAATTTGATTGATTCTATTTTTCTTACATTAGGATGCCCTGGCAAGGAAATGAAGAAATAATGATTGACCGGTTTGATGCACGAGCTCATCTAGATTTTATTAGAGAACCTAAGAAAGATGATGAAGATGAACAAATGTCTTATGAAGAACGTCATTTAAACTATGAGCGTTATCGTATTCTTGTTCAAAATGAGTTCTTAACAAGTAATATTTTAATTTAGTCATCTGTTACCATTTAATGTTAATCATTTATTTTGAAAATTTTAGTTTCTGAAAGTAAATTTTTACACCAACTCTATTTGGAAGAAAAATTTGGCCCTGTAACTAAAACAGATGCAGATGATGCAAAAAAAAAATCTACTGCTAATGCTGCTATTCCGTATAAATATAGCGATGAAGACACAATTCAAATTGATGATTCTAGAAAATATTTGGATATAAAACCTAAAAATGATGGTTCCGATGAATCAGACGAGGAGAGCGAAGTTGATTTTGGTAAGCACCAATGTCCAAATATTAAAATTAAGTACAAATTGTAATTTAATTGTTTTATTTTTTTCAATAGATTTATCAATTGATGTTAGCAAAATTGGCACTGACCAAGCAAATGAGTTGAACTCTACTGCACATGGTTTTGGCATGACTACTAATGATTTTTATAGTTTTCTTAATAATGATTTGGAAGAAGCTGAAAACATTCAATTAGCTCGTTTAGCCGAAGAAGAAAAGGCTATGTTTGCTGTAAGTTTTCATATTCAAATTAATAATTATTGTTATAGTAATTAAATAAAGTTATTAAATAGCTCTTAAGTATTATTTTTTGTTACTTATCAGTTATTGCGACCATCATAACCACAGAATAATACCTACAGAATAGACACTCGATCAGCTGAATGGGTCTCTGTACCCCTATGGTATAGAAGTATGGGACTCTAATAATAAAATATTAAATTGTTGTTATTTGAAATGTATAATATTGATATGAAATATTTAGTTGATAATGTGTACCCCGGTGACTGTGCTCAAGGCCACAATCAAACAATTTTGCCAATACACACAGTGTATATACCCTGCCACAACTGTTAGGTAATAAATAAATAATTTGGTTATCGCAATTATCGATTATAGATTATTTAAAATTTTAAATTACGTTACTTAAAGGTAATCGCGATAACCGAATTGTTTATTTATTACCGAACAGTTATGGTAGTTGTGATAACCGATAAATACCTTTTTTTTATTTGTTTTTTCCTATAATTATTTATATTAAATCCAGTAGATTTTATGGTAAAAATTAACAATGATATTGTGTCCATCAAATAAAATTTAAAAATGTTATTACTTCATATAATATTTTTATTGTTTGAAAAATAAAATTGATTTTAAATTTTGTACTTAGGGACGACGATCTAGAAGAGAACGTAGAGCATTTCGATTAAAAGCTTTAGAAGGCAAAGCATTAAGTCCACTAAGGTATTTATTTTAAAAAATTGGATTTATTTTGTTAGACAACAGTTATAAATTATTTTTTTTTAGTTATGCAACTAGAAAGAGTCCTAGTTATACTGATTTTGATCAACTATCATCAATGATGACATCTCGTTCACCCACTCCTGAAAACTCAGGCCAAGTAACTTATATAACTAGTTTTGGTGATGAAGAGCCTACAACGAATGACAAATCAAAAACAAGTACAAAGTAAAACTAATGATTTACATACCAATTTTATTTTATTTTATTTTTATGTTATACAGTGAAACTTCCACTCAGTAAAATTTTCCGTTAAACAAAATATTCTTGGAAACCAAATTTATTCAAATCTATTTATCAAAATTTACTACAATACAAATTTTTTTTATGCCCCATGAGACTTTGTAATATTGAAGTTGTGTACTAAAATTAAAATTGTATCCAGAATATTTTTTGTTTATCAAACAATTCGTATTAATTATTTTTGTTAATATTTATAATTTGTATCTATAGATCAAAATCTTCAAAAAATCATTCAAGGAAGAAACGAAGTTCTCGTTCAAGGTCTCCTCGTCGAAAATCTAGATCATTATCTAAGGGTCATAGTCGTCGGCATAGATCACGAAGTCGTAATAAATCGGTGTCACCTGTCAGGTTTAGAATTTTTCCATATTTTATAATAATTTAATATACAATGGGAATACTGTTGCTCTGTCAATTAAATCATAATGGTTACTATCTTTTTAACTTTGACAATATGTGGATGATCTATAACTATTATTTAACTCTTCCATTAAGTATTATATCATTGCATATTGTACTAGTTGTAACCAATTTCCATTGTTACTAATTTGTCAGTTTAATTAAAATTAATTTTGTAATTTTATGTTCTTAAATAAATAGGAATAATGCACAGTTACCAGTTAATCAAAAACCACCTCCTGTTCAACGGTAAAAATATTTATTTATTGGAACTCATATAATTTGAATAGTATTGTCATTGTTTTTTTTTTTATATGTATATATAGATATTATGGCCGTAGAGGAAATGATTCATCATCAGAATTGAGCATTTCTGATGATGATGACAAAGATAAAAATACAAATAACATTAAACCTCCGTAAGCTGTTGTGTTCTTTTAATAATGGATATTAATTTTTATTGAAAATTATATTATTTTAGATTACCAGAACTCAGTCTTTCTTCTTCCAGCAAAAAAGTCAGTAATTTGTTAATATATCGCAAGAGTACATTAGCATGTTGCGATTAAAAATAAATCAGAATCCTAGGGGATTATGAATTTTAAAACGAAAATTTATAATAATAAATAATCTCTCTAATATGAAGATAAGTTTGTATATTTAGATGTAATTATATTATAATATGTTTACAGCAATGCTCAAGTGACAGCAAACCAACTCCACAAGAATTAATGAAACGAAAAATGAAAGTTTTGCTAAACAAACAATGTCAGTAGTATTACTAATAGTTCACTTTTACTGTGAAGAAGTTGTATTTAAAGTCAACATTTTATTATATACACTTATTATTTATATAGTAAAAAAGTGTAATTCCTTTGTTTATTGTCCAATATATTATAAATCTATTTGATTATTAGATAAAGCGGATAAAAAAGCTCAAAGAGAACGAGAATTAAAAATGGAAAGAGAGCAAATTGAACGAGAAGAAGAAATCAAAGAATTGTCATTGAAAATGAGGAGAAAGTATATATTATACTATTATAGTATTATATAATATATATTTTTTTTTTTTATTATTAATTTATTTTAGAAGACGGCAGTTACGTCATCCTGAGAATAGTTCTTCATCGTCACGATCTAAATCTCGTTCAAAATCTAGTAGTTCTAGTAGTTCAAGTTCAAGTTCTAACTATTCCAGGTATACTACAACTAAATACTCATAAAAAGAAATTATTAATGTTCATTTTCATATTCTAATTTATATTCATGTTTAGGTATCGAAGTCGTAGGCGTAGATCTAGATCAAGAAGTGGTGGACACAGATCTAATTCAAGAAGTGGTGGACATAGATCTACATCAAGAAGTGGTGGACGCCGAAGGTCTAAAAGTGGTGATCGACGTCGTCGGTCCAGAAGTGATGATAAGAGATGGTCTAGAAGGAGTGAAGAACGCGATAGATATAGAAGAGATGATAGACGGGATTATGATCGTAGAGATGATTATCGTTCTCGCCGTAGTCCCGATAGAAGAGATAGAAGGGTAGATAGAAGAGACAGTCCAAGTAGAAAGGAAATAAAACAAAGGGAAAGTCCCATTAAAAAAGAAATTAAACAGCAAAGGGAGAGTCCAGTTAGGAGGGAAATTAAGCAAAGGGAAATTCCAGATCGTAATAAAAGGGAAAATGTGGTTCGTCCAATTGTCAAAATAACGTATGAAGCAAGTCCAAAACGCTATGTGTCAAGTACCAAAGTACAATCCAATTTGAAGTGAGTACATTCTAAACTCTAGTCAATAATAATAGTGAATAATAAATATACAAATTTAAAAAATAAAAAATGTGAGCTGTTATGTAAGTTAACTAAAACTTTAAACGCTTATAAAAAGGGTTGAGGATTTCTTGAGATTGCATATTTGTTTTTTACAGTCATATAAAAGGCCAGCTAGATACAAATTTTCAAGGCTGGGCATTAACAAGTTAAATAGTTAAAGTTTAGTCACACAACGAATTACTTTTTTTAAGAGGTAACTTTTAACTTAAAATTGTTCTAATTTAAATTTTTCCCATATTATGAAGTAACTTATGATTTGTGATTTATGAGTTAATTATTTTTAATGTCACAATAAACCACAGATTTAAAAGATAGATATTCTATTTTGTAAAAATTAATTTTATAAAAAAAAAAAATCGGAAATATCAAATATTATTTATAAAATTATAAATATAAGTAATAAATAATAATTTATGATAATTGTTATAATGCATTTTCATAGAATATATTAAATTATTGACAAAACAAATTATCGCCGGGAGCTCTGTTGACGCTTGTAATACTGATGGTTAGGCGGGTCCCCCTTACAAGGAGTCTGAATACTATTATCAGCTTATATGTATTTTACCGAAATGTTGTATACGTTTAAACGTTTTGCTTGTGAAATGTATTTGATAATATTTGTAGAAATTATTAGTTACCAACATCTACAGTTAACTATACTAGTGTATAAATTTTCAAATTTCAATAACAAAATTAATTTATTAGAAAAAGTAAAATTACCAATGTTAAACTATATCTATATATCCCAAATCAATCGGAAGGTACAAATTGTTTCCACCAGAAAAAAAAGAAAAACGTAGCTATTTACACAGTATCCCACACACATTTGTATACTCATTAATCATTGTTAATTACTTGTTATTATATTTTCATTCATTCAAAGAATTACAACTGAATTGGATAATATTTGATGTTATATGTAGGAAGTTATAATTTTAGAATATTCTAATAATGAATTTAGTTAACAAGTTTAAAAAAAAAGAAAGGTAACTTTTAACTTTAAACTTAAGAGGACATCACACCCGCATGTGTTGTCTCCGTCTTACAAATGTACAACGTAGCAAACATTGTTTTATACAACTGTTCTTGCGCCATATTTGTAGTAGAACTACCAAATTTTCACAACACCTAAATAAGAACTTTATCTGTGCAACAGCTTGCTCTTTTTTTAATAGCACCATCCAATCATTTTTTATAAGCAAATGAAAAAAACAAAATGATTAGAAGCAAATAACTTTTATTGTATTTACGTTATCTAAAATATGGGCACGCTGTTGCACAGATGAAGTTCTTCTTTACGTGTTGTGAAAATTTGGTAGTTCTACAACAAATATGGTGCGAGTACAGTTGTCCCGTGTAAAACAGTTTTTGCTATGTTGTACATTTGTGAGACGGAAACAACACATGCGGGTGTGGCGTCCTCTTAACTTATATTTTTCTATATGAACTTAACTTCACAAGATAAAAAAACAGTTAACTTGCCCAGCCTTGCAAATTTGTTTTGTGTTACGGAAAATACAAATCTGTGATTTTATGTACCACATTTATACTGTGTTCAACGTAGTAGGCGGTGACCAGTTTTCTTTGGGCCGCAGTCAGGCAACACCCGTCCAGTCAATTATCTGTGTACTTGCCGTTTAGTTTTGCCACACCCCAGCGCACAAGTCGGCCGCCGACTACATTTCTTTACTTGAACTGAGTATAAATGTTTTTGCTTTTTGAAAACTTTTTTATAACTATTCGTTGCTTTGTTCTATAATTTGAAGGCAATCAATCTATATAAATGGTTTTTTACCTAATCAATAAAATACAATTTACAGTTTTTTTATTTATTTATTAGTTAGCTATATTTTATTAATATTTATTTAGAGCTATAAGTCCTGCCCTACTTATAAATAATAGTTAGTTAAATATTTGTTTCCTATACATAAGTTACAGATTATGAAATTAAAAAAATACGAGTTGTCATTTTAAAAAGGTAAAAAAAACCTAAAAAAAATGAAATGAATAATTTTTCTTTAAAATCAAAAATTAACTGCGACAATGGTCTTGAAATAATTTAATATAATACTATATTGCTTTTTTTTTTTTTATATTTAGTTTTGTATAAAATAAGTAGGTAATAATAATTATTATTCCGCTATTTTTATAAATTGTATGACTAATGTGTATAACTCATCCGCCAAACAATTTAATGCTCTATTTTTATTTGTACATTTTTAGAATAAATTGTATTGATAAAATTATTTTATTATTTTTCAGGCCCCTAGTAGATTATGATTGAGTGCTGGAAGTGAGTTTAAATGTTATTTATCAGGATTAAAATTAATCAATAATATGTAAAATGTTGGTCATCTAGATTTTGTTAAGCAAGAAAATGAACTCTTGAGCTAATTATAACTTTTATATAAAAATATGTATCATTAGCTATATTATTATAACTTTTTAAATATAGTATTAAAGTTTTTTTTTTCAAGTTTTATAAAAACATCGACTTCTTAGGTCATTATCTTAACACCCCTCCCAAAAAAAGTATACCATTAATATTGGCTATACATATGGTCTAAGTACAGTCTATTCCAGTGGTTCCCAAATTAGGGTAGCAGAGGTTTTCATGGTGGGTCGCAAAATAATTACTTAAATATTAATATTAGTTATTTCTAACCACATATTTATGTGAAGCAGAAGCAGGGTTTTCTGCTTTAGTTGTCATTAAAAACAAAGTGTAGAAATCGTCTTGGTGCTAGTATGCTACATACGATATGCGTTGTGCACTTTCAATGAGTATACTTATATACATTCTAACACTGAAGAACTTGTGGAAAGTGTTCAGTATCAAGGAAGTCATTAAGTATAAATTAATTCCATGATCAATTAGAAACAATTAATAAAATCATTTTTTTAGTATTGTATACTGATTCAGTTTTTTATTTGTATTTTTTTGATGTTAATTAATAAAAATTGTGTTAGCAATTATGATTTTTTTTTTTCTTTGGGTTGCCAAAAGTTAAATTTAAAATGTTAGGGTCACGCTCATAAAAGGTTGGGAACCGCTGGTCTATAATAACACAGAATAATAACATATTATTTATGTTACCGGCAAGGATATTAATTAGGCACTGTCGCGAATGACTAGGCAATTAAGAAATTGGCTGTTTATATCAAACCATAAATGAGGGAATCGAAGAAATGATACTAAGATTTATAAAAATATAAATACAGTAGATTTTGCCTAATGTGGGCATCAGCGTAAATGCGTAATATGGGTAAAATGGTCTGGTTCCAGTTCCAATATAACTATCAATTAATTAATAACTAATTTCAGTTAATAAGGCCAACCGCTTAATTTGGACAAATGAGTTTGGTCTCAACGTGTTCACATTAAGCAGAATCCACTGTATTGACTAGGCATTATCAGCTTATGCTCTTTAGGCAATGTGAAAATATATATTATATACATAAATATATTTTAATGGAAAATATATTTTATACAACTGAATTAATTGTTATTTGTTTTTAATTACATATTTATGATGAATAGCATAACAAGCACATTTATAAGTCTTACATTTTATTTTTAAATCTCTGTGGTCCACTATAGGGTTTACCACTGGGTATCCTCCCTAATCTACTTGTCAACCTACTTTTACTGTCAATTATCAAACCTTCTTATTGTACATAAAAATGTTTATAGATTGTAGATATATTTCAATAGAATAATAATAATAAAAAAAAAAATCTCTGTGGTCCAGTGATTTTAAATAAACCTGCTGCTTCCCAGGCAGTTATTTTATTTGTTGGAGATGTTTTAAATAGATTTAAGTTGAGAGAAAATTGTATAGCACGTGGCAGTTTCAAGACAGTAACAGATGTTATAATATGTGTAAACATAAAAGTGCATTAAGCCATTTGAGCCCAGACCACAAATTAAGATATATATTATTAATAATAACTTATTAATATTTTTATATCTTAATTCGTGTCCTAGACAGCCAGGCTATCTCATTGAAGATTTTAATATTATAAAAAACGTATAGAAAAGTTCTATTTTTTTGATTAATAATTTTATTTACAAGATAATACATTTAATGTAATAATAAATACGATTAAAGATGGTGTACCTACTGTCTGTAGCCGAAATAATAAGTAATATGCACCAATCGTAGATATTAACTACGATTCATTAGTTCATACACATACTACAGAACATATTAGATGTCAGATGATTATTATTTATTTTATTGTTATTGACGCAGTTGATTAACACTTTTTCATGAACTATTTTTCAATCTATGGTTATGGGTAATTAACTAATTTAATTTAAATTTATTTTTATCCATAGCTTCAAATGATAATATACCTACCTATTGCCATATAGGTATTTATTAAATTCTGAGTGAAACGATGAATGTATTGATTTTACAATGATGTGTGTTTTTATATTTATTTTTTTATTTTTTTTGTGTCTGTGTACACGATAAGTAGTCGAAATAATGCTTCGATTTTCGACTTCAGTATCTTGTTCGATTGGAAAGTGAATATCGTTGGTGCATTGGGGAGGTCAAAATTTAAAATTCCCAGTACTTTTCAAAAGCGCCAAGAAAAACAAAAGAAAAATTAAGGAAAAACGGGAATTTTTACGCAAAATCGATTTTTCAGAAAATTGAATTTGGTTTTTGGTGTAACTTTAAAACAAATGACCGTAGATACATGAAATTTTCACTGGTTGTTTATATTTGCATCTTCTAAACACGATAACATTTTAAAAATATTTTGATTTATTTTGAACAGTTTAGGGACATTTTCATTTTTCATTTTTTTTTAGTTTTTTTTCTAGAAATATCAATAAAATTTTATTTGTTGGTTGCGAAAAGTTGAAAATTTAATAGAAGGCTCCTAGTATATTGTTTCAAAGGCAGATGAAAAATATTAAAAATCGTTAGTCACAGTTTTTTTTTATAAGCATTTAAAGTTCAAATATTGACAAAATATGGAAAAATCACGAAAATTAGCAAATTATTTTGAGTTAAGAATTCGTAAAAATTTTTCTTTTTAAATCTAAGATTTGAAAATGTAATACAAGATTACTCATAAGTTTATCTACCTGTATCAATAAAAAAATCTCTACCGGACAGTTAAATTAAATTTTTATGAGCGTTTGAAATTCAAATTTTTACAACATTGGATATTCACTCGATTTCTCATGTAGCGATTTCCTTATTTTGTTGTTATTCATAAACGAATAACTATAGATACATGAAAATTTCACTGAATGTTTATATTAGCATTTCCTATACACCATACGATTTTATACTCTTACGATATTTTGACTCTTTTTGAGCTGTTTACGGACATTTTCATTTTTCAATTTTTTTAGTTTTTTTTTCTATGAATATCAATAAAGTTTTATCTGTTGGGCCAAAAAGTGTAAAAATTTAATACAAGGCTCCTGATATATTGTTACAATATCAGTTGAAAAATATTAAAAATACATAGGCACAATTTTTTTTTATAAGCATTTAAACATCGAATTTTGACAGAATTTTTCAAAATCTCGAAAATTATTAATTATCGTAATTAATAAATTATAAAATGTTCAGTTTTTATAGCTAAGGATTGAAAATTTAAAACAAGATTCCACGTAAGTAGTTAATTCTCTTACCGAAAAATCTAAAAAATATACAATCACAGTTTATTTTTATAGTCATTTTATGTTCAAATTTGGACGAAATTACATATTAAAAAACCTAGTTATTTTGTTGTTATTATATAATATTATTCGTGGGTACCTACTTTAAACTTCTAAAGTGGACTATTATATATCTATGATAGTATCAGGGTTTGTTATTGATGTTGATGTATAACGTGTTATAAGTACCTAATGGATATTGTGATAATGTGATATGATTAATTTGGAATTTATTATAGGTCAATTTTTTTTTTAATACCATAGATATGTTTATGTTACCGGCAATATAGACAATTCAGGTATTTTGCAAACTACCTAGGCATTATGCATATTGCTGACCCATTTTAGGCAATATAAATAAAACATATAGTTTTTAATATTATTTTACATATAACCTAGGTATTTTATAAAATAACTAGGCATTATGTAAAATGCCAATTTCTTTTTAGGCAAAGTAACAAACAATTTTTCATAATGCTCTTCTTAATGCTCTTCGGGGCGTATAATCATCAAATAATCTGTTAAAACATTATATTAATTTTTAATTTTTATCTATTATTATATTTTCATACATTGATATTATTATTATTGCATTATATTATTTTATTAAGTAATATTATTTATACATTTTACTTAAACTAATAGCTACTTATTACAACATGTTGTAGAAAAATGACATTTTGAAGTGCACAAAACATTATTTTTAAGGCAAATGCACTTTTTATTTTGGCACTTGGTCTTACAAATACATTTTAGAAATCCTTGGCCAGTTCCTGTGGACTGTTCCTTTCTCTTACGTCCAGCTTTAAGTTCTGCAATAATTTCTATCAATTCATTATATTTTTCATCAGACAAAAAACTAGTATTATTAGCCAAATTTTTACGGTTTTTATGTAGTTCGTTATAAAAATTTGACTTCATATTAATCGTATCCATAATAATGCCACACTGCTACGAGACACGAGTATGACGATAAAATAATAAAAGTAAGAAAGTTCAATTTAGTTCACACCGCGACGAGACACGAAAATGACGATAAGATAATAAAAATATGTTCAATATAGTTCGTCAGAATTTTTATTTTTATAGTAGGGTATGAATCTGATGCAATAAAGATTAAGATTCTTATCTTTATTGTGTCAAATCGTGCACATCACGCGGCGGCATACGCATTTACAATAAACGATAAGTAAAGTCGTTGGTGAATAGGTAAAGCGCGGATTTCTATGCAATTGCATATTTTTTTTCTTTTCACATTTTTGGATTTTTGTCAGTTATCTTTATAAATTATAATAGATTGATTGAAAATAGATTTTTATTATTAATTAATTTGTAAATTTTAAATAAATAAAAAACAATCCTTGCAAAAAACCGCGCTCTAGTAATAGGCGATACCCAATTTTGTTTATTTTTATCATATTTCCTATTTCACTTCTGGCATTATACATAATACCTAGGCAAAGCTCGTATTGTGCATATTTCCGAGTGATTTTTGGCATTTTATATAATGCCTAGGCATTTCACAAAACACCGGATTATCCATACTGCCGGTAACATATATAATTTGTATTAAACCTAGACTGACATACCGTCTTCGCTCAGAATCGTTTTTCTTATACAATGATATTGTATCATTGAATTCAAATTTAATAGCATCCATTATACTGCAGTGACCCACTTGTAACCTACTGTACAGCAGAGCGACATCCACTTACCCACCTTTTTTTTAATTTATCTTGTCCCTGAATCGTTTTATAAAGTGGATATTTGTTTTGTGTAAATTAAAGTAAAACTAAAGTTTTCCGAAAAAAAACATAAATTCAAAAAACCGTTTCCTAAGTGGTCACCGGTAATCTTGAAGAATTAAAACCGCTTCCAAACCGATAACCGGTAATCACATTTTTGGGGATCATTTTGGTAACCGGTAATCAATTACCAATAATTCTAAAAATCCCTAAAACCGGTAACCACTTACGAAAATTGTTTTGGGTCCTACCGGACCCAGTAACTGAATTGTTCATAAGCGGTTTCATGCCCTGCAAAAAATTAAGAGATTTGAAGTTTTTACTGCAAAAAGTGTATATCCTTCAATAGTAATACTTATACACATTAATATTTTATATTAATCCTTGGTATTTGACAATTATAAAAATAATTATATAATATATATTAAAAGACATGAAGAAATCTTAAGTTTTAATCAACATTGACTCAACCCCGATTTAATAAATTACCAAAAAAATAGGATTGCCATTAATTAGTATATATAATTAATGACAAAAGGGACTCGCGATCGACTCAAAATTATGTCGCTTTCACCCTGTTTACCACCCCTGTGCTGAACGGGCGAATGTAAGTTCCCACACGAGATATAGCAGGTAAAAATTACCCCTGGATATCCATACGTAAGTTCCCACACGAAAAAAATTACACTTGTACGTAAGTTCCCACACGAAATTTCAGAAACATAATAATGTTTATATAAATTGCTTATAATTTTAACTTTTAATTCGTTAATGCTCAGCCTTGCCAAACACAAACTTCCTTCCCACTTTATTCAGACTTAGGACTGACAACTTAAACGTAGTTGGTGTGGTTAAAATTTGTTTTGTTTTTGTATTGCATAAAAAAAAGTCCAATTGAATCTAGTCCGTATAATATATAATAAAAATTAATAATATTATGTGTATAATATTTGTATATGTATAAAATAAAAATAATAATAGAAAAAATCAAATTTTATTAGGTTTATTGCGATAGCTCAAACACTATATTGTAAAGTGTTATTAGATCAAACAAAATGTGATTTTTTCTATTATTATTATTTATTTTATAGGTACCTATACAAATAATGTGTGGAAGAAGAAAAACAAAATAAAATATCAGATTGACTATGTGAAGTGTTTGAGCTTTCGAAATAAACCAAATAAAATTTGATTTTTTTCTATTATTATTATTATTTTATACCTAAAAAATGTTCGTTTAAGTTGTCATTCCTAAGTCTTACTAACTTAACTTACGTACAGGTGTAATTGTTTCCGTGTGGGAACTTACGTACGGGCGTATTTTTTTTCGTGTGGGAACTTACATATGTACTCGCTTACCTGCTATGTTTCGTGTGGGAACTTACCAAACCCCGTGCTGAACGATGTACTAAAAATATATTAATTGAATAATTATTATGTTAAGATTGTTTAATGTGTGTTAAGTAGAACAATTTAAGAGATATAATATGTTGAAGATATTATATTGAATATTGATTAATTATTAAACTATTTATATTTAAAAATTAATTGTTATTTATTCTATTAAATTGGGTAGCTTGCGAGTTCTGTTAGAGGAATAATATGTGTGTTAGTGATTATTTTACTTAGTTATAAAAAAAATTGATATCATTGATGCACATTCAGACAAAACATCAAACAAAATTTTAAATTAGTAATTGACAAACATATGAGTAGATATTTTTATTCACCCCAAATCTAATATGTATTATAGATATACATTTACATCAACTAAAACAATGGATAATAATATAATTTATACAAAATATAACCCAAATCAAATAAAAATTAAATTAAAACAGTCAACATATCAGACTGTGAAAATATGTAAACGGTACATTATACGTTATCCTCCCAATTGTGTCCAACTGTAGGACGATGGCTGATACGTGGTGTGTTCATAGTCTTGGCCAGAACTGTTAATAGGGACACACTTTTTATGATTAACTTGTGGTCTAACAAAATAACAAGCTGTGCATTGACATCGGTTCATTGGTTCTCTTTGGCCTCCGTACTGAGATAACCAATCGTCAGATGTTGTTGTTGCATTATAATTCTCGTGATGAGAAAAGTTCAAGTTACTTTCTATTTAAAATAAAAAACAATAAATCAAATATTAAATATAATTATTGTACCCAACTATGAGAGTGTATAATACCATATCCAAGTGCTGGCTGATAAACATCTTGATGTTCTCTTCTATCCTTTTCCTCAGACTTGACTTTGGTGTCTTTAAATGCCTTGGCAAATGGATTATATTTGATTTTAAGTTTAGTCACCTAAAGAAAAATTATGTTAATTTGTAGTGGTTTAAACAAATTTATTTTCTAACATGATATTTATACAGCTAGCAATCATACGCATGTTATTTTATATCGGATATACAGCCGTCACTATAGACATACAATAGTGAATAGATAACATGTACATAGTTATAAACCTCTATGGCTCTATAGGTATAGGTAAATCATATATTTTTTGTATTTTTTTTCAATAAAAATTCTTTATTTGGTTATTTGTTATATAGGTGAACACTAAACTTAATTGATAAAATCATATAAATAAATACATATAAATAATGACATAAAAAGAAAAGAGTGAAGAGGCTTATTATGATAGGTAATAGGTATTATTGTATTAATATGACAATTTCAGGCAGGTATGAATATTTAAGCAAGCCAGTATTCTGTACTATTTGGTAGAGCATAGCTGTTTTCGACCAAAAACTTTACTTTTTGACCAAATTTAAAAAATTTCGATTCCCTTTTTGTACCCTTCCTTTTTCAGCCAAAACAAAAAGTTCAATAATAATTAATATTACCTATATAGGTACCTACTTTAGATATTTATGTTAGCCGCTAGGTATACCTGTAGAAAATTATTAAATATTTATTGTACCTACCTAAGTTGTATAAAAAAATATTTAAATCACTAATAAATAATAATTATTATAATAGGTAATATGAAATTGTTGTCAATAACTATTAAACATAATAGTAATATCACTAATATGTTTATAATATATTATAAAATAATATATAGTTTTTAAAATTATTAAAAGTATAAGTTAGAATTTGTCAATAATTATATATATTATAATTATTATAATATAATATGACTATATTTTATTTATATATTTTACACATTTTATGCAAATTATACTTTTAATAATTTAAAAAATTATATTAGCTATCGTTTCACAAATATTATATATTATTATACTAGGTATATGACATATAAAATACACGTTTTTATTTTATTAATTATTGACAACAATTGTATATTATTATATTATTATTATTTATTTATATAATATGTTTTTATATAACTTAGGTATAATATATATTTAATAACTTTCTATAAGTATAACATAAAGACTATAATAATAATTATTATTTTTTGTTTTGGTCGAAAAGTGAATCGGCTGAAAAGGGAAGGGTACATTTTTGGTCGAAAACAGTCTCGCCCATTTGGTAGGTATCTACAACAAGTTAATACAATTTATGGGTACCTACTACCTACCATGCATTCCTATTAAATTACCAGTGGACTTGTTAATTTTTGGTATCTACTGCTAATAGGTTTATCTATTTGTCAAATAGGTACTCAAATTATGCGAGAACTGAGAAGTTTTAATTTGTTGCTGTTACCTCTTCATTTTGATATGCCGTGACTGCCATAAACCTGGTCTGAGGCATTGCAAAAATTTGTACGTCGTCCGGATCTCCGACTTTGACTATATGAAGTTTGGTCTCATATTGGTGTAAAGAATTTAAGTGAGTCTATAAAATACAAAGCATATTATATATCATATTAGTCAATTAATTTCAAACTGAGTTTTTAATTCACACTTCCAAATATGATATAACAAGTTCGGTTTTTTTATGCAAATATGCAATGTAACCTATAATTTATAAACTATAAAGTCACATAACTAATATCCATTCAATAACAATATTATGTAAAATTTGATTTAAATTTATTAATTTCAAATTTCTAATACATTAAAACAAATGCCATTCCCGATTCGCGTGACCAAGGTCAGGATTAGAAAATAAAACATTTTACTTTATTTGTATTATACAAAAACTTCAAATTGATACCTGAAAGTCCAAAGATGAATAAAATGAAAATAATTTATGAATAAACTGATACATTACTTACACATTTACACATTGATGTATTGGTGGTTCAGTAGCGCATTTAAGGGGGGGGGGGACTGGGGCAAACATTTATATTATCATTTACTATACACCATAAAATATTAAAAATATTTTTACTTGTTTTGAACTGTTTACGACGGACATTATTAATTTTAATTTTTTTTTTTTTTTATTAATGCCAATAATTTGTTGGGTAAAAAAGCTTGCAAATTTAATACAAGGCTCTTAATATATTGTTACAATGACATTTGAAAATTATTAAAAATCCAGCACAACTTTTTTTCATAAGTTCAAATTTTGACATAAAGCTTAAAAATCATTTGCAAATTATTTTGAATTGGAAATTAATAAACATTTTTCTTTTTAAATCTAAGATTTTAATATGTAATAGGTACAAGATGCCTTATAAGACTATCTATCTTTAACAAAAAAAAAAAATCTATAAGAAAGTTAAATTATATTTGTATGAGCGTTTGAAGTTCAAAAAAAGAAGCTTTTCAATTTTACAAATATTATATAATAGGTACATATAAATATAGAAAATAGGTATGTGGCGCCGTAGCGGTATACCTGTCCCGGGTTATCCGGTCTGTTGGTGAGTTTGATTTTAGCAAATGAAATCGGTTGATCCATCCAATGTTTTCCAAAATTCGGTGACTCCGGGTGTTTATAAAACGGATTCTTTGTGGCCGGGTCCGACGTAGTGGTCGGCGACCACTCGCTGTTAATGTACTTCCATCGTTGTCCAACCACTTGCACAAACTCCAAAAATACAGTGTACATGTCTCCCGGACACAATCCGGTAACTTGCGTTTTAATTACCGGAAACATTCTCCTAAGATACAGTTGCAAATTATTTTTTTAGTTCTTCGATTATGTATACCTAGATTCAACCATAGCTGCAAATAGGCTGAACAGTTTTTGCGGAGTGGTAGATTAAAAATAAAGTGGTTCGCCCAACTATAGTCAACGACTTCCAAATAAAAAATTATTATTTATTTAGGTATTGTAATTTACATTCAAATATTAAATATATATTTATTATTTTTTCTATTATTTTAAAACATACCTACATATAGAGTTATAGGCTACATGGGGGGGGGGTTAACACAATAACAACCCTCCCCCTTTGCTGTTTTTTACTCTCCCGCTTTTTTGTGGGTCGATAGCCCCCTACATATTTTTCTAGAAATTATCCACAAGTCACAACCCCACTACCATTTAAAATTTCTGAAAACGCTACTGGGTACCTATATTATGTATACCTAACCTACCTATTATACATATAGGTATAGGTATTAGCAAGGCTGGGCATTAACGAGTTAATAAGTTAAAGTTAAGTTAAAAAGTTAAGTTACTTTTAACTAAGTTAATTAACGAGTTACTTTTTTTTTAGAAGTAACTTCTAACTTAATGATTTACATTTTTCCCCATGTTATTCAGTAACTTAACGAGTTAATTAATTATATTAGCACGTTAAGTTAATTTTTTCCCAAACCACATATTATTTAAAATTAATTCAATTTTGTAAAATTAATTACATTAAAAAAAAACCCGAAATATTAAATATATTTTATTAAATAATAATTTATAATCATAGTAAGTTTTTATATTGCATATTCACAGAAAATATTTTATAACTATATTATAGAGGGAAATATCATAGGGGTAACCGCGTCAAAGAAAAATATAACAATTTACTCAGTATACCTATCCCATACACGACATATCACCTAACCTATACCTAATCATTATTAATATCATTACTTATTATTGTATTTTTATTCATTCATAGAATTACGGTGATAACTTGGCCCGTCGATGTAAATAATACCCGTAGTAGCGTGGTATTTACTATTTACCTAATTAAAGTATAATACACAAAATTAATGTAAGTACCTACAGTAACTAATTTTATTACAAACATTTATTCGAAATATTGTAAGACATTTTTTGATTTATTGAATTATTATGTTATTTGTTAGCTTTAAAAAAGGTAGGTAGGTATAATTGTTAATTTTATTTAAGAATAAAAAGTAACTTATTTTTAACTAAGTTAAGTTACTTTTATTTTCTAATTAACTTGTAACTTTTACAAGTTAAAAAAATAATGAAGTTAACTTTTAACTTTAAACTTAACTTACATTTTTCTATATTAACTTAACTTAACAAGTTAAAAAAAATAGTTAACTTGCCCAGCCTTGGGTATTAGTGTATACTGTATTACATATAATTAATAGCCATTAATGGCTGATGTTACAATTAATTAGTGTTGGGCAACGATATCGATAATTCGATACGATATCGATATCGTGACAAATTTCCGACATCGATATCGCTTTTGTATTGTACGATACATCGCGATATCGAAAATAATATTTTTCGAGAAAAATACATGGTATTTACTATGTACCTAATACAAGACATGAATTCAAGACAATATTAAAATAAAATAATTATGAATTTATTTTCTAGGATACAGCTATCGGGGTTGAACACATTTAAGGAGAAGTCAAAAAGGGTTAACATAAAATATAAAAATTTAAAACAAATGTAACAAAATGTATAACAAATTTATTGTAAATAAAAATAACTAAGTAATAAGTAATAAATAACTAATAACTAATAAAGTAATAAGTATGTATGTTAAATGTGTACGATGTCGGTGTACCAATAATAAACAATAAATATTAATTAGCTTAATAAAGTAAATTCCTTAGTGTGATATATATTTAGAAATTTAATTAAATGAATACGAAAAGTTTTTTTAGTTGTTTAGGTAAACATAAAATTATATTTATGATACGATATCGATATCGTAGAAATAACGATATCGCGATACAATATCGGAAAAATCTGAACGATATCGATACAGAAAATTATATCGTTGCCCATCACTACAATTAATACAATTAAATGGATAATTCTGTGAGATTAGAGGTACGTATACATAATATTATAGTATTATGGGAGATGGTATTTTGTGCCAATTTAATTACTTGTAATTTGAGCCAAAATATAAAAATTAAACATGTACTTTGCGCCACGACGAAAAACGAAATGGAATAAGTAATCTAAGCCACACTTTCAATTTTAATTGTTGGAATTTACCAGCAGATAAATTTACTGACATCGCATCGAAAATACGATAATACCAACGCGTGCCGGATATAATATTATTGTTGTGTTCTACTAGGTAATAATAAGTAGAGAAGAGATCTCTTACGTCTAATCTAATAAAAATTATCAACTGTCAAAATATTATATCCAACAATATTGAACTGCAGTATATCCAAGCCTGGGCATAAACGACTTAAAAAGTTAAGTCAATTTTAACTTTTTAACTTAACTTTTTTAAATTTAATCACAAAGGTACAATTATTAAATATTTTCGCCATAAATAAGTTACTTATTTTTTAATTAAATTCAATTATGTTATGCACTTATGCTCATATATTGGCTTTTTCCTGTGTTCAATAATATTTATGATTTTTATTATTTTAAACCATATTAATGGGTATTTATAAAGATATTAAAAAAAAAAAAAATAATAATAATAATAATATAAGTTAATAAGTTAATTGAAAATGTTCATATAACTTTTAACTTAACTAAGTTAAAAAAAATTAGGTTGATTGTTTACTTTAAACTTTTTAAAATGTTTTCTATCAACTTAACTCAGTTAAAAAATATCATTAACTTGCCCAGGCTTGAGTATATTATCATGATATTTACAGTAGTCCGATATTAATCGCAAAAATATTAAAAATATATTTACTTAATATACATATAGAGTACGTATATTTATATACATTTATTTATAATTATTATAATATTACTGATTTTTTTACTAAAATTAACTTGATTATTTAGTTATTTTAAAGTGCCGCAAATTACAATTTTAACAAGGTGAACAATGGCGCAAATTAAAATTTTTGTAGGTAAACGATCGCTCAGATTACTTAATGTCCTTTTATTAAGTTTTGTGTGGTCCAAACTACATCCTTAAAAAGTGGCGCAAATTACCAAAATTAATTTTTAGATGTATATGTATAATTACATAAATATTTTTTTGGAGGGGTTGTTATTGATGATTTCGTTATTTTTCATCTAACTCAGAAATTATTATTACATACCTATAGTAAAAACTGAAAAACGACAATTTACGATATTATAATGTAATATTATATAATATTATTACACCTATATATCTGTATCTACTATCTATATAGTTGCCAAAATAAAAAAAAATGTTATTTCTTAAAAAAATTATATTGGTAGGAATCTATATTGGATTTGAATAAAGTAGAATAAACTTACTTATACTTGCATGTTTAACAAATAAACGCGTTTATTAAAAATTAATTTAAATTAAACCCCTATCTATAAATATTGTTCTAAATCCACTTCTGTCAACAATGATTTTATAAATTTATAAATAAGTTTGTTTTTTAATTAGCAAACAAATATAACAGGACTACGGGAATAAAAATGTAATACAAATACCAAAATGTCCAATACTATAAGTATATGTTTAGGAAAACATTGCCATTTGCCATATTCGTACACGCTTTTACGAAATACAGATGGTACATTATACAATTATATTTAACTAGACCAGGGTCGTACTTCAACATTTTTTGGTCAGCCCAACATATTTTGACCCACCCCCCCCCCCAAAAAATAGCTATTTTTTGTAATGTATAATACTATTATTTTGTGGTATAAATGCAGTTTAGGCAGTTTAGCGGACAAGTGATTTTTGAAAATAATTTTTCGGAAACCTATGTATTTCAAAGAGTGGTGTAATCAGAATTGTGATACCTATATTAATTTCAAAGTTATAACCTTTTGAAGTCCTCGAGTTTGCGTACTCCCACTCATCGGGTGTTTTTTATTTTTAATTACTTCATTAACAATACAATACAAGTAAGTACGATAGGTAACTTCTGATTCTACCAAAATGTTAGGGATGAAAAACAATGAAAAATATTAGTTTTTGGTATTTTAAACTTTAAATCAATATATGACTACAACTTCCAAAGAAAATTTGTTGAAAGTATCATCATAATAAAAAGCATGCAAAAATCACTTGGTCGCTAAACTGCATTTGTTCCAATATTTCATATTATCATCTATTAGTTATTTCTTAAATATCTAAGAAAACCAATGTTAAATAAAGAAATTATAGTTTTCATAAAAAAAAGTATAAGTAAAACAAAAATTAGCACAAAGACTTCTTTGTATAAGCGTTTACTGTTTTTTTTCTTATGGTGCTTATTATATTGAAAAATGTTATTATTATATTATTATATTTACCAACAAATTTGGTATGGTTCTAATTATAATGTATAAATTATAATAGATACCTATAATACCTGCTGACACAATAATGTATTAGATGTTTTTTTATATACCTACGACTGTTAATTATTAGTTATTAGTTATTACCTACCTATCTTGTTTATTTAATTTATAAAAATAACAATATAATGAGTAATTTAAAATTGTTGTAAATAATTTTGTAAATATTACTACGGACTCACCTTCCTGTTTTTGTGACAATCATTTCATTGTTGATGGCTAAAAATTCGGACCAAAGTTGAGCATCCAACAATCTTGATCGCACTGGATGCCTTTTGCCCCAAGTCAAGTTCTGTAATTCGGAAGAAGTAATTTCTCTCGCATTAATATTCATTTTTTGTTTTGTTTTGTTTTTGTTTTCTTGATACAAACACAATTGGACCGAGAAATATTCAATACACGAAAACACAATTAACAAGTAACGCACATTTTTGTTTCTCACATTAGTGTTGTCTCGTTCACACCTGAGTGCCCAGTGACTGGGCAGGTAAAATTTTAGAAATTTTCGAACGGTCCTACCGACAGAAATGACTTGGTGGTCAGTAGGTGGAGACTTCTTTTATTTTATTGCACCCATTATAGTACATTATACCAATTGTTTGTTGTAAACGCGTGCGTTTTATTGTTGTGTGAAAAGAGATATATTATTATTCCTCATCAATGGGTACCGCTCGAATGTAATATACCCTTTGGGCCTGTGAATATTGTGATCAATTTACACCTTAAACATTGCTAAGAATCGTGATATTTAAATTAACACTGATGTAATAATTTTTATAGATTTTTTTTTCTTGATAAATATTATCTGCACTTTAATACAATTACTTACATGATTATTATTAGTATTTATCTTATACAGCTACAAGGATGAGGTACCAACATAACACATCATTTTTGGTTTAGAATACATTTATTTAAATTTAATATAATATGATATTATAATATCTATAATTTGATACAAAACGCAACCATATAAACTGATGATTTGAGGCCGGATTTTTATGTTCTATTAAATGTTAAAAAAAGATTTTTAATATTTTTTCACTTTGATTTATAATAAAAAATCATTTACCTTCCCACAGGGTCCCCACAAGGGGGGGGGCTGGACCTGGAATTTTTGAAATTTTGAAATTTTGATAGGAATACTTATTATATATTAAATAATTTTATATATTTTATAGGGCCCGCAATACATTTAGTACAGGAGCCCAAAATTTAGGGCCTGCCTACACATTATAAGTTTAAAATATAATTTACAAAAATAATAGTTATTTAAATTATTTATTATAGGTACCTATATTTATATATTTCAATCGATGTTTTAAAACAAAAATAAAAATAACAAACTTGATACACTTTTTAGTGTGTTCTGGAAGCCCAAAATTCTACGTTCACAATTCAGTCTTTTAAATAGTTATAACATTTAATTATAGTGACATCGATATCTAAAAGAAATATGCATTTTTAAGCAAAATAAAACGTTTTATACATTATACCTATATGGCTATATACACCAATACACCATACTGCTATACCTATATTTGTTGTAAAATAAAACGTTGGAAAGATGAACTAAAACCATGTACTGCATAGGCTCATAGCCGAAGTAAAAATATGTATAAACGTAAAAATCCTGCCTCTATTGATGATTGATTGTACCTATACATAGGTACCTACTTCAATTCTACTTAAATTGTCTCCAGGGCCGGATTTAAGGGGGTGGATAATAAGAGGCCTCCATAAAGAGGCCCCATTTTACAGTAAGTTTCTCAACCATATATAAGGGCCCTAGTGACCCCACAACCCTAAATCCGACTCTGATTGTGTATATTGATTTCAATGCCTATTGCCTATATAGACAGTGATATTATGCTATACCTACACATCGTTTAGTCTTGGTAATTCATAAATTTATGTCACAAAACCCGATAACTGATAAGTGGAATTTAATAAATATCTATAGGTTCGTAATCTATATTATTCTATATGAAAACTAAACATTATTTCAATCCTTTCTAGGAATCGGTAGTAAATCACAAAGCATTCTTAGAAAGTAATTTTTCTTGTTATATTATATTTAAATTATGTATACATAATATATTTATACATTATAAAATCAATTATTTTGTTATGTCATTTTATGTAGGTAATGGACCTTGTAATATCATTTACCATATTACAGTATTTTAATTT